TTTCATCACCTTTCTCCATACTCCGAGGCAGAATGACCCACGTGCGTTGGCCAGAGACGCATCACACTGCAACTCTTTTCCGCTTGAGACCCTCTAGGAGGAAACTGCACGCGTGTGGGGATGCGTGTCTTGCAGGCGTGGATTGCATCCTCACACGCATGCAATACAAACCAGTGTCCTGCAGAGTCCGCTGTGCTCCGGCCAGCGCAGCACGGAGCTTCCTCAAACCTGGAGTGGCTGCCACACTTTGCAAGGACACCGTAGAGGGGCCTGTCCGCGCTCTGACTTCCTCCCGGCGCCGCCTCTGATTGGCTCCTGGGCTTATAAGACACGGGTGAATGAGCAGCTGCCGCGGGCAGAAAGTTGCCGGAGGTCTCCGGGTGGCATCGCGCTGTCCTCTTCGCCAGCCCGCGGGCGCGCCAAGCCGAGGGCTCGGGGGGAAGATGAGGTCATCCTGCGTCCTGCTCGCAGCCCTGGTGGCGCTGGCCGCCTATTACATCTACATCCCGCTGCCCAGCTCCATTTCCGACCCCTGGAAGCTGATGCTGCTGGACGCCACTTTCCGGGGTGCACAGCAAGTGGTGAGGTGCAGCCCAGCGCGGCTTCTCCCTTCCTCCTCTTACGCAATATTTGAAGGGGGTGCAAAATGTCTCCGCCGGGTTCCACGAAAACGCAGGTTTTTCCTAATGCAATGAGGCTGCCACTTTTTAAGGTGGTCCGGTCGGGCATTTTCAGGGTACCGCGTTCGCGTCCTTGCTCGCAGCGGGCAAGAGCTGCCTTTCCTCGTCTGCGTTTGTGACGGGGGAGAAGTGCTGGGATAGAATTTGACAACTGCTTAAACCGTCGTCTGTCCTAAATATCTTCCTCCTCCTTGGTTTGCAACGTCAAAAGGCGTTTTATAAATCAACATTTTATAAATCACCCTTCCCCACACTGTCATTCTCCTATAGGGACCAGCAGAGAATGAGTTAAATGCTTTTAGGAGCGCTGGGAAAAGGAGACTCTGGTTCCCGGGGAGGCAGCCACCTTAGAAGCAGAAGCAGGCGAGGGCAGTCTCCCAGTGTCCCCAGACCGTGGAGCGCTCCCTTCCCGAGACCGCAGGCAGCACCCCCATCCTAGCACGTAAGGAACCGTAGGTATCTTGCACCCGAGGCAGATCTCAACTCAGCCCTGGAAAGGGGACTGGGAGGCTGGGCTGGCTGAAAGGTGAGGAGGCGGCAGCCCGTGTTTTCATGATGCGTGTTTTCTGCTTGCCCTGCAGCATTTATCATGTCCTTGGCTGTCAGATAACATTTTCCTGAGCCAAGTTACTTTCCTTCACCTGGGAGGGTAACATTTCTCTCCACTATATGTCGGGCGTGTGTTCATTCCTTCCATAGACAGGAAAATGTAACTGTCTCTGGTTTATTCCATGGTAAGGGGCATTATTTTTAGTGTCAGAGAATCTAAAATCTAAACTACAGTCTGCAGCCAAGGCTGAGCCCTCTGATTGGACGGTATTTCTGAGCAGGCTGCTCTATCTAAACTCTAACCTTCTCCAAAAGCAAGCCTCCTCCCTCACCCCAACCTTGGGCTTTAATCTCAGGATATTTTTAATAAACTCCTTCTTTCAGAAATGACAACTAGAGAAAGAGAAAAAAAACCATTTCAACCTGAGAAAGCTGATTGTATAAAATCATCAGGTTTCCCGGCGGGTTTGTATTCCTGTTTCCTGTCCACTCATTTATGTGTAGGATTACATAATCTGCGGGGCTTTATCCCAGCAAAAGTCCCCTTACTAGGGTATTGTAAGCTATTGTAGCACATTCTTAGCATGGATTTGCTTTTCTTGAATTCAGCCACATTCTCACCTCCAAAGCCCCTTTTGTTTCTTAGGAAAGGTCTGTGAAGCTATAGACCGGCCCCCCCCTCCACCCTCACCCCCGCCCCCATCCCTTTCCTTTCCTCCTGCTTCCTATATTGTTGACATGGTGAAAATGATCATCCCCTACTTTAGCACTGGTGTCAAGAAAGTCAGTCTTGATGTAGGAAGCCCTGCAATCCCTCTCTTCCCCCATGAAATTATGTAATTTGAAACTAATGCCCTTCAAAGATCGAGGAACAGTGATGTTTTCCCCGGGTGGGTTAATGTTCTTCTACAATAACTTAAACATAGGAAAACAGGGAAAAGATCAAACTGCTATGTTAGCTGCAGAGATTATTCTTAGTTTCCAGGTCGCCAAAGAAGTCTTCTCCATCATAAGTAATCTAGGACAAGCTAGGTTTGGAGAAAAGCCTTTCTTTCCCTGCTAGGCTTGCCGACCCATCAATGACAAGGCAGTGTAAGGTTCTCCACAGAGCATGGCCTCGGGTGGTGCTTGGGAATGATAGTGGGTGTAACTTTAAGTCAGCAATAGATGAGTCACCTGACACTGTGGCTCATGAGTGGATTTGCAGAGAAATGGCTCTCATCAATTCTCTTCTAAATTGTGAAATAGCAGAAAGATCATTATGGTCAGATGGAAACATATTCTACTTAACAAAGCGATTTACCAGTGTCACCTCAAATCTTCCAGAGTTTTCCCTGTAAATTAGGGCAAATAACTACCTTGTAGGTTTGCTGTAAGGATTAGTAATGTATTCGAGTGCCTAGTACTTGTAGTTAGTCTTTGGGTTGTCCCCAATCGTCCATTGTGGATTTGTGGTCCATTATGGGAAGATCTATAAGAATGCTCACCTTTTTTGAAGCAAGATAATAAGTATAAACTGGAAGTAATTTATGTAATTGAAACCTGGAGCACTACTACTAAATTGCGTGGTGTCAACCTCGTTACTCAACTAATTTTAATTTGAGTTGATTGACTCAATAGCAAAGGCAATTGAAGCTTTTTAGAGATTAAGCTCAGCCTACTTTCTAACACAGCATCACCTGCCTACCATCGAGAAATGTGAATGTTAAGTTTATTCTGTTGTCATTGGCAAATGCTTCACCCTTTCCTACTCTTTATCTCCTTTATCTTGTGCAGTGCGTCAGATTGTTGAGATTATGTTCATTGCACTTTTCTTCCTTGGGGTTCCCCATATTCCCTAAGAAGAAGCAACTTAGAATCTCTCAGACTCATGTCAAACACAGATGCTATGCTAGAATCACCTAAGGACTGCAAAACAAAACAAAACTTGATACTCGGGTTACACTACATACCAAACCTACTCAAAATCTCTGGGAGATTAGGGTTCCTAGCAGTGTTTAAGAAAAGTTCCCCAGATGATCTTCGTTGCAGCAAAACTTGAGAACCACTGCTCCGTAAGATAAAATGCATTGCTGTTGTGGACAACATACTTTCCTTAATCCGCAGGTTATATTGCATACATGTTGCTGGAAATTAGCCCTTTACATTAGCATGGATTAGTTTATCAGATTAGTTGATACTTTGGCCCTAAGGGGATAAAATACTAGCTAGGCAAATTTCAGTGTTACAGCAAAGCCACCTATGACTTGAGCAGTGGAAAAGCACAAACAAAAGTAGGTCTTGGAAAGGCAAGGAGTGATTTAGATGAAGACCAGGCAGAGGAGACGAGGAACAAAAAAAGAGAGTCTGGGGAAGTCCTGGAGGCTGGTTTCCAAATGCTATGCAAACAGATTTTTTTTAAAAGATAATCTCAGTGCAGGTTAAAATACTGAGAAGTGTACATTGCTGGAGAAAATGCATGTTAGAACCACGTTTTTTTGGAGAACAGTTTAGCAATATCTATCAGAAGCCTTAAAAGTGTGCTTATTTTTGGAACTGTAATCCCTCTAGATAGAATTTATTGTAAGTAATGATAGATATAAAGCTATAAAGATGGAAACATTTTACAGAATTAAAAAACTTGTTCATCAGCACCATAAGACAAAGGAAAAGACCAAAACCTTGTTAAACTTGGCTGAAAGCACCGCCGTTTACAATAAATGTGAAGGAACATTTAGCAACCGTTTTCTTTTCTTTTCTTTCTTTGCAGCACCATTTAAAAGAATTAAAATTTAAGAACAGTAAAAGATTAAATAATGATAAATCCATATTTGAGAACACTAGGCAGTTACAAAATTTAGGCTGTAAAATGTTTAATGACTTGCAAAACATTTGCACTGTGTGTTAAGCAGGAAAAGGCTACAAAATAGCGTATATACTATTTATATATCAAAACGTGTATCTGTGTTTGCATAGAAAAAGCAGAAAGATATAATTTAAAACATGATTTTTTAAATTCTGGGCCATAAGATTTTATCTTCAGTTTTCGTACTGGTATGTTCTAGATTTTCTACAATGAACGTGTAGTAATAAATTACTTTAAAACGTTTTTTCTTGGCCAGGTGCAGTGGCTCACACCTGTAGTCTCAGCACTTTGGGAGGCCTAGGCAGGTGGATCACGAGGTCAGGAGATAGAGACCATCCTGGCTTACGTGGTGAAACCCCATCTTAAAAAAAACCACACACACACACACACACACACACACACACACACACACACACTTTTTTATCCAGGCATGGTAGCTCATGCCTGTAATCCCAGAACTTTGTGCCAAACCCCCATTAATCTCAGTAGTGAAGACACCAGGTTGAAGAGGCTGAAGAAGGTTCCTACAGCCTACAAACAAGACATGGGTTTTGTTGCTGTTATTGAGATAGTCTTACTCTGTCACCCAGGCTGGAGTACAGTGGTGTGATCTCTGCTCACTGCAACCTCCTCTGCCTCCTGGGTTCAAGTAATTCTCTGCCTCAGCCTGCTGCATAGCTGGGATTACAGGTGCCTGCCACCATCTGGCTAATTTATTTTGTATTTTTAGTAGAGACGGGGTTTCACCATCTTGGTCAGGCTGGTCTTGAACTCCTGACCTCGTGATCTACCTGCCTCGGCCTCCCAAAGTGCCAGGATTATAGGCGTGAGCCGCCGCACCCGGCCTGGATCATTTTCTAATTCACTACTGTTAATACTGTGAATCTTTTCAGTGACATAATATAAAAGAAGTGCTGAAATTGGAACCTATGCTGGGTGTTCCCCGTTTCTTATGCGTGACAGTGCTTTTGGACTTAGTTGATCAAGGATTTTCATCTTGTCAAACGTCCCCAAACTTGTTGAGACTTAATGTCACCTCAGTTGAATTCTCTGTGCATGATGTGCTTTTGGGCTGCGTGGGTGTGGTTTAAACGACAGCTCGGCTGGAAACTGCAGAACTCCAACGTGCTAACCTCTTTCATAACAGTGTTGAGCTGGAATGTTTACTAATGTCGGGTAAATTTAACTTTTAAACTTAGTAAATAATGACTCTGCAGAAATTGTGATGACCTGTATTTCTTCATGTACATCGGTAACTTCACCAATCAGTTTTTAGCTGATTTGCTAGAATTTTTCTTTAAACATATGACAGCAGAAAGCTTTTAAGAATAGCGTCAAGGGCTTTATTGAATCAGTATGAGTTCTGACAGGTGAACAGCCTGAGTTGGTCTCTGCAGATAGACCCTATGAAACATTAAGGTCCGGTTGATTCAGCTACCAGGTATGTAAGATAATCCCCAATTGATACTTTCCTTTTTATTTTTTCTGGCGCTTCTACAAATATAGCCCTGAGCATAGAAATACCCTCATTATTTTAATGGGATATCCTATTTCTACTATGCAGTCTGAGCTTGATCTGAGACGTTTCTATGAAGTGTGAAAATACAGTTAATCATTCTTAAATGTTCTTTTTATGCACAATTGCTTCTTTTAAAATAGCATATACGTTTTTGTTTTTTTTTTCCGAGTTGGAGTCTCACTCTGTCATCCAGGCTAGAGTGCAATGGTGCCATCTCAGCTCACTGCAACCTCCGCCTCCTGAGTTCAAGCGATGCTCCCGCCTCAGCCTCCTGAATAGCTAGGATTACAGGCACCTGCCAATCATGCCTGGCTAATTTTTTTGTATTTTTGTGGAGATGGGGTTTCACTATGTTGACCAGGCTGGTCTTGAACTCCTGACCTCAGGTGATCTGCCCGACTCAGCCTCCCAAAGTGCTGGGATTACAAGACATCAGCCACTGCTCCCAGCTATATTTACTTTTTTTTTTTTTTTTTTAAACATGTAACACCACAAATATGTGTCATTCTTCTGGAGGGCCCAAGCTAGTCCTCTGTGAATTGTTCCAATTTTAGTATATGTGCTGCTGAAGTGAACACCATAGATTTCCTTTTGCTGCCAAATGTACTTACGTGGGAACTGTCTACCACTTACCCTTCATTTTATGTTTATGTAGAATGAGGAAATGTAATTCAACTTATTTTCATTTTTTACCTTTTTATTTTTTTTTAGAAACAAGGTCTTGCTCTGTCACCCAGGCAGGGATGCAGTGGTGTGATCACAGCTGGAAACTTGAACTTCTGGGCTCAAGGGATCCTCCAGCCTCAGCCTCCTGAGTAGCTGGGACTACAGGCACATACCACCATGCCCAGCTGTTTTTCTTTCCTTTTTTTTTTTTTTCTAGAAGTCTTGCTATGTTGCCCAGGCTGGTCTCAAACTCCTGGGCTCAAGTGATCCCTTCACTTTGGCTTCCCTGAGTGCTGGGATCACAGGCATGAGCCACTGTGCCTACCTGTAATTGAATTTTCAAATGAAAAACCTGACTATATTCCCTGCCTAATCTAAGGTGTGTCATGTTATGAAAGTTTAACAAGCTATCTTTCAGTGTGTAATAAAATTAAAACCCTGGAAGTCATCACTGATTAAATAAACATTAACTGAACACCAAGGCAGGGAGCTGGTCTGGCTAAACAGAAATGTGTAAGGCAGATACCTAATCTTGTGAAGCTTACAGTCAAGTGTGAGGGATGATAAATCAACTGCCAGTGAGAAGGTGGGCGCTTGAATGATGGAAGAATTGTGATAGAGGCATTTGTGGGTTGCAGCAAGAGCCTTGGAAAGAACATCTAAAGCAGACCTGGGCATTGGGGAAATGTCTCTAATCTGAGATGTCAAGCTTGAGTGCTTACAGTAACAATAACATCTGTTGAGCATGTAGTGAGCATTTACTCTGTGGCGGATACTGTGCCATGTGCTTTGCATGCAGTTTGTTCATCCCATGGTAATACAATCAGGCAGGTATTTTTTACAATGTGTGACGAAGGAGGAGACTGAAATGCAAAGGAAAGTGACTTGCTTAAGCTAACACAGTTTACATGAGGTGGAGCCTGGATTCAATTCCAGCCAGTGTTACTCCTGAACTCGAGTTTAACCACTGTGCTAAATTCCTTATAACAGAAACCAGAGAAGAGAATGGTGAAAGGGGCCTTCCAGCCAGATGCAGCCGTATGTGAAGGTTCTGGTGGAGAGGAGGGTGCAGCTGAGGAACTAAAAGTGGTTTAGACTGGCTGGAGCTTGAAGTTGAAAAGTCAAAGAGGGAGGCAGAAGGGAAGCACCGGGCAGGCGAGGAAAGCTCTGTGGACAAGAAAGGAGCTACTGAAAGTCCGTTAGCAGGGAAGTCACAGGCTCAAAACCATATCAATGTTTACATGTCGTTTAAATGCACTCAACCTTGATATCTCAGGTGAGAATCATTGCCCCAATGCCCAGGTCTGCTTCAGATGTTCTTTCCAAAGCTCTTGCAGCAACCCACAAACACCTCTATCATAATTCTCCCTCCATCATTCAAGCACCTGCCTTCTCAGTGGCAGTGTAGACACTGGAACCTAAGAAAGCAGAAGTGAAGACAAGAGACCACTTAAGAGGCACCAATCCAGGTGAGAACATGAACTAATGAAGTGGGACTGATTGCGAAGAAAACTGACCAGATCTGCTTTTGGAGGGGAGGATGTGGAGCGAGAGAGGATATTAGTAGAGATGGGGTTTCACCATGTTGGCCAGGCTGGTCTTGAACTCCCGACCTCAGGTGATCCACCTGCCTCAGCCACCCAAACTTCTGGGATTATAGGTGTGAGCCACTTCGCCCGGCTTATTATCATTGTTATTAAACACAGATAGATAGTCTCCAAGTTACATGTATTTAGATAGCCATATAATTTATTGTCCAAACCAGGACATTTTTGAGAGTAGCAGGGACTGCTATTAATAATCATGCTAGGTCAACAGTGTTTTTTCCTTTGTTTTGAGACAGGGTCTCAGGCTGGAGCTCAGTGGTGCAATCTCCACTCACTGCAACTTCCACCTCCCCAGATTCAAGCAATCTTCCCACCTCAGTCTCCTGAGTAGCTGGGGCCATAGGCACACACCACCATGCACAGCTGATTTTTGCATTTTTTTGTAGAGACAGGGTCTTCCTATATTGCCCAGGCAGGTCTTAAACTCCTGGGCTCCAGTGATTCTCCTGCCTCGGCCTCCCAAAATGCTGGGATTACAGGTGTAAGGCACCATGCCTGTCTGAGAACAATGGTTTTAAACCAGAATGATTCTCAGTCAAACCTGGACAGACGCTCAGGCTGCCTTTATTTGACTTGCACACATTCGGCCTAATCAAGTCAAGGTTGTGAAATGATCCTTTGTTTCCCAGTCCTCAGTGCTCCGATCTGACTTGATCCTCCAGTTACCGCTCCTCCACCCCACCCAGGCTTCCTATCCCCTGTAGAGTAAAAGTGCCAAGTTCCTTGACTGGCACTTGGTGCTTGCTACAACCTGGCACCATTTTTCTGACTGCAGCCTCAGTGTGTCACGGATGACAGTTTAGCTCATGAATCATGTAAGTCTCTCCTGTCGTCCCCTCTGTCCCGGACGCCCTCCCACCCTTTTGCTTTGGACAATATCCCACGCATCTTACAATACAAACTCGGAAATCATCTCTTTTGAGAACTTCCGCATCCCCTTCCCTCTGACGGCCCTGCCTCTGCCTGAATTTCTGTCTCAACACTCTGCTGGGTTTTGTTTTATAGCCCTTATATGTTGCTACTTCCTTCTATACAGGCTCCTCACCAAATCGCAAGTTTTTTCTTACCTATTATAGACATAAGTTTCCACTTACTGTTTAGGGGTTTTGTTTTTGTTTGAAGATCATTCATGACAGAGAGACTAGAGAGAAATCAGGAATTCGTGGTTCTGCTTCCATTATCGCTGTGTTACTGTGTCTGCCACAAAGAGCAGACCCTGTGTTTCCACATGCTTCTGACTGTGAACATAGCCAAAAGTGGTTTTCCACGTGCTTCTGACTGAAAGTAGCCAAAAGTTGTCCTTCACAACTGTTTTGCAAGCCTCGCTGTTTTTGGGTTTCTAACTTCCTCATGTTTTCATAGATTTATGCTTGTTTTCAAATTTGTCATGAATTACATGTCTGTTTCTAACTAAATATTAGTTATAATTATAAGCCATCTCCTTAAAAGAACACTGGTGGTTTTCCACACTGGAGAGCTGTCAGCCTTTCCTTTTTCCTCTTGAATAGGATAGTTGATGAATGCCCCATGAGAGACTGAGAGACCCTTTTTGGAGCTGCCTGTCCCATATTGTTGTCCGTGCCCTGAGACTCAAACTATCTTTCTTTGATAGTTGAAATCTACTTTTTAAAAAGTGGAAGATGTTCATCTCACTGTTTCTGGTATATGTATCATTTCCAAGGTCAAGTCACTTTGTCCCAAGGTTTCAGTCACATCCATTTCACTGCACACAGTTCTTCCTTGCTCCTGAGAGGCAAGGCCAGCAATTATCCAGGCTGCCTTAACTTTCTTAGCAAGGCAAGTCAATTCTACTTTTAGAGGCTGGACGCAGTGGCTCATGCCTGTAATCTCAGCACTTTGGGAGGCTGAGATGGGCAGATTACCTGAGGTCCGGAGTTTGAGACCAGCCTGGCCAACATGGTGAAACCCCGTCTCTACTATAAATACAAAAATAAACTGGGTGTGGTGGCAGGTGCCACTAATCCCAGCCACTTGGAAGGCTGTGGCAGGAGAATTGCTTGAACCCAGGGGGCGGAGGTTGAGGTGAGCTGAGATCACACCACTACACTCCAGCCTGGGCAATAGAGTGAGACTGTCTCAAAAAAAAAAAAAAATTCTGCTTTTAGAAAATGATCAGCTTTTAACAATAAGATTGCTGGCAGATATCTGTATAATAATAGATGCATTTGCAGAATTATCAACACAACCACTTTATAAAAGAGTGGTTAATGTTTTCATTTTATAGGAAAGAAAATAGAGGCTCAACGAAGTTCAGTAACTTGTTCACAGACACGGGCCTGCTTAGTGAGGCTGGCTGTGAACCAGGTCTGCTGGACTCCACGGTCCTTTCACCTATACTCAACAGTCTCCTGTTATGGGTGTTCAATCTCTCTTCCCCTTCTCACTCTTCTCCCTCCACCCTCAGCTCTTTTATGACTAGTTGTATGATCCACATTAAGAACACATCAAGGCTGGCCATGGTGGCTGACACCTGTAATCCCAGCACTTTGGGAGGCCAAGGCAGGTACATCACCTGAGGTCAGGAGTTCAAGATCAGCCTGACTGACAAGGTGAAACTCTGTTTCTACTAAGAATATAAAAATTAGCTGGGTATGGTGGCAGGCACCAGTAGTCCCAGCTACCCAGGAA